TGAAAAATTTAAGGGGGTCTGAATACTTTCCATAACCACTGTATGATGCACAATTCCATGCCTCCCTCAACTACATACAAAATGTGTTACTGTCTGTTCTTTCAACATCAAAAACACAGAGAACACACATTAAGAGTAACACCCATATAAAACCTAGATGTTACAGCAGAAGACACAATGGAGAATATGCCATGTCTAAAACATATGAAATCCACTGTAACCTACACTTTTCTCATTCAAAACAAAAACAAGAATATGATAATGCCAATATTTTGATAATGATCCTTTCTCTTTCATCAGTCATCTTGTATTTGACACTGCAATAACAGAAAAACTCATACCTGTAGGGAATCATCTTGTTGAGTCTCAGACACGGCCACTCCACAGCTCCCAACTTGTGCAGTGACTACTGATCTCTGTAAAAGCTGTTCAGAAAACAATAAAAACCTTTTTAAATCTATAATGGATACACATAGAAAGTAACAAGCATCCTATGCCAGATCAGATTTACATCAAGGCTCATGAAGCACATCCAGACTGGGGGAAATATGTAGAGTAGCAGAACATGGTTAATGGGCACATTTCTTTTAATTTCCAAAACTCTCCTATCCAACTAACATTTCTTGTTTTTTCACTTGCTGCAGCCATGAGTGTGAACTCTGACAGAATCTAAAGAAAATTCAAGCAACTTCATGCTGATAAAATGTTATTCCTTGCAATCTCCTTTTGCTGTGAGTGAGGATTTGCAATTGCTCATGAGTCTGTGTAATTTTCAGTTGTAGCCATCTGTGTGAGAAGAGCAAGCAAAGCAACAAGGTCAAATGATTCATTAACATTGTCCTAGCTATCAGGGAGGATGAACTGGCCAAACACTGTGCAAGACAGGCATCATGGCAAAGGGTTCAATATTTGCAGTCAGTGACTCATTACCTAACAGTCTGTGTCAATGTTTTCACACAGAGTACCAATATCTTACTTTGAAGCCACTTAAGATAAGTGCAACGTCACAAACAACTACTATAAACACTGCATTCACTCTATACAGTTAAACATTTCATGTTAGAAGACTGTGCTGTATTAGTAAGGTTCAGTTTCAAGAGCCACAGGTACCTAAATGTGGTAAAAACAAAAGTCCAAGTCTGACAAACTCCCCCCTTTTAAGGAACAAAGAGCAAAGGACTAAACAAACATGATTAAAAACATATATATATATAACAAACTACCTCAATGGATCAACTAAGAGATTGAAAAGTGATATTTAATTGAATGCCAAAACTATGCATCATTTTCAAGCCTGGGTGACATTCAAACCAAAACTGGAATAATCATTTCAACTAAACCCCACACAATCCCTTGTTTCAACAGATAAACATACCTTAGGTGAAGGAATGAAAAACTTTGCAGGTGACCTGAAAATACAAAAGGATACAGTTCGAAGTGCAATGAAAGTCAGCGTTTAAAATGCAACAACCTACACAGATCTATCTAAAACTAATAAGATTATCTTATCTCTCACCTCAAAGAGTTAAAGTAAAGCTGTACGAGACCCAATAGCATATTGTTGGTGAACCTGTTCTGTTAAACAAACTTTACCCTAATGTTCCGAGATCTCAGCATCATGCGACTCTCTGCATTGATAGCAGTTGAACTGTGATACTATTCGACAGATTTAATTGTTAAAATACATCTACTAAACAGCGATTTGAACTCGTTAACTTGATCATTAACAGACAACCGGCAAGGTGAGCATTCTGCCAAATTTAGCATTAACCACACAGCTACCATTACTATTTATATACATGCATTGTAAGACACATGGAATAAAAACATACAGAAAATGTGTGCACCAGTTAAAACACTGCCAAAATAGGTTTCCTTACACTTTTGGAGATGGAGTAAAATTAACGTCCTCGGAAGCATCATAGAATTCCTCCGTGTCACTTATATCTGACGCCATGCTAACGTGATTTTAGCTAGCAAGTCAGGCAGCTTTCTAAAAGCCTAACTTGCAAATGCTTTAAGGGTCACACACATGCGCTTGTCTCCCGCCTATCAATATTAATCTTATAACGTTAATTGAAAGGGCTTAGTCCAGGCGCCGTCAAAACGACCACTTTCCTGTCCAGGCTCACGCCATAACGTTATACTGTGCTAGTCACTGCTAGGCTAGAAAATGCAATTTAGCCGTAAGAGTGACCAATACTTAGCATTACTGCTAACTACCACTTTTAAGTCTGCCTCGTTCACGGTTAAATACTTGCCATTAAGGTAAACATCAACACGCGCGTTTTTACTGCCATATACACTTGGTCCGTTGTTAAGCTAACGGAGTCAGTGAACCGTGTCATAAACAAACCACTGACACATAAAAACAAATTTAGTCGAAGTCAGTCAAAAGGCGGGGCAGAATAGCCCTTCTTCTTCTACTTCACTGATAACACAGACGAGGGTGTGTTGAACACGATACTGCCAACTAGTGGACTGTGTTGCCACCATCTTTAGGTACCAACTTTCTCGCTAGATTTAGCGCTTTTTCAGACCCCTTTAACGACATGTTTTCAAAAAGCGATTATCGCCAAACCTAGCGACTTTCTGGGCAGAGTTTAGCTGCGTCTTCTGGAAGAGAGTCGCCGAGACTGCCCGTGAAGGAGCGGTCTTATTTGCCGGCCATAGGAACGCTCCTCTCGGTGTCTACTTCTGTCAGTGAGTGAGAGGTTAGAGGAGTGGAGAGTCAGAGCCAGAGCCGGAGCCCGGAGCCGGAGCCAGAGGCCAGAGCCAGAGCCCCTCACTGTCAATTTACAGTTACCCTTATCTCTCTACAACGTCATTAATACGAATTGCTTTTATGTGCTTCATGTGTTTTAATCTTAACTTTTGCTACTGGCATAATTAAATATTGAACGTATCGACTGTCAATTTACATTGTTAAAACTCAAAGATGAATCCTATTTATGAGCTACAATTGACAAGAAAGCTTTATCTCCATGCCCTCTCACTTGTCACTCCCTCACCCATAAAGATCAATGTTCTGGTTTCATTGTTTTTTTTTCTGTTTAACTTTAGCCACTATTATACAGTGTACAGATCACAGGGAAGCTTACTGATGTATTTACAGTCAGGAGGAGTAAGGACTGTGTATGCATCCCAGATAGACTGAGCCTAGGACATCAGACAGGCTAGAGCCTATAGTACTGTATCTCCAAGCACTTCCAACAAGGGTAACCAGATTTCTGTATGTCATTAATGCTGTCATCTGCCAGCGCTATATGAACAATAACTGCCAGTCAACTCAGTTTAATAAGATTTTCCAAAGACCTTATTACTGTCAAGCAAATCATATACAAGGAATTTTTCTTTTCTTTTTTTTCCACAGCTTTCTTAGAAGGGGTGGCTCTGAGCTCACCAATATAGAGGTGTAAAAGACATTTTCATTTTTTAATTGTTGTATCAACTATGGATTTTCCCACCTAGATACATTCTAATACCAATTTTTTGGAGATTCAATATTGCTCTATCAGAGTGTATGATTATGTCCAGTGGTTTGTTTTGTTTAATTTAGATGTATTTGTAGTCTGCAGGGAATTTCTTCTGACATGACAGGATTCTCATGAAAAATGTGACCAAGATACGTGTAGGCCACTGACCAGGACATTTTACAGTTGAAAAATAAATTTGTCAGTGCTTTCTCATGGACAGTCTATGTCAACACAGTTTCCATAATGTCAAACACATCTGATATTTCACTGTATTAAAACTAGCCAGTAATGTCAGCCAAGCTGATTTAATTCTCTTGACTTACCCCTTTAATCTGGCTTTCTAAGTTAAATACTGATATATCATTTCATTATTTATTTATTCATTATCCTACCTTCATTAGCTCACTCTCATCCCTTACTCTGTAGCTCAGTCTCCCACTGAATCACCACTGTAATTACTACATGTAAATTTTTCTTCCTTTGTTCTTCTTGGATCCTGCATGCATCAGTCATACATCAATGTTTATTTCACAGCTCAAGCATTGCCTCATTCCCTGCCAAGCTCCAGTTCTTCATGTCAGAGCTTCACATACATTGCAGATTCAGTCCATCCTCCCTTGCTACAAAGTTTTATTCTGCTTCCTTCTGCTGCTTGTGCTTGTACCCTTGTAACCCAAGAATGACTTACTGTTAAAAACGATTTATTATGTAGCAATGATACATAATAAATTGATTTTAGAATTTTTGTGGGAATCTTTAATTCTAAACTTTTAATACTAATGTAATTATGGTACTGTACATTAGTTTGATGCCTCATTAATTGCCTGCATGACTCACAAGGTGAGTACAAGTTGATAAAACAAATTAGCAGCTGCAGGTCTCACTCCTTCACACATGGTGTAGGCAGGGACTGTGAAGAACTGTAGAATAGCCAACAGTTCAGCAACACAGTCATTAAATATGAAGTTTGTTTTTTATTCAGTGAAAGCACCCTTGGCTCCAAGATCAATGCACATCAGTTGATCAATAATGAACTTGCAATTTAAGTGATGATTTGAGAGTACAAAAAAGTGTAGGTGATAGATGAGTGAGTGATAATTGAAAGATCCTTGTTGCATTTTAATGAATGCATACATTATTTTGTTTTGGACACATTTGAATTAGAGACAGCTGCCTAGTGCAATTCTAATAACTGTTATCAAGCATGGCTTGAATATGGATTACAGAAATATTCAATGAAAACATGAAGCAATTAACTATCGACACAATTCGTTCTGCATCATAAGGTTGTTTTTTGAGGACTTTCTTCATATTTTTCATTCAAAAGTAGACATCAAATAATCACAACAACAAAATGTAATATATTAGATTTTATGGGTGTCAGTAGTCCAGGGATCTTGGAACGTCTACAACACAATACTCACTTGTGCCATTAAAAGTGTATTCTTTGTTTTATATCATCAATAAATCAAATGACTAAAGTATGTCAATGTAAAAGCGGCCACTTTTAAAGAAAGAGAGAGAATAAAACTATAAAACTTGCTTTGGCAACACTGTAAAACTTTGTAAAGACAATTTGAATTTGATTTGACAGAAAAGATACTGACCTAAGTGTTACTACTAGTGATAATAGCAAGAGTAGGAGAGAGGGATCTATGCAAACAGAAATATTTCACTTTTTTATTATTATTGTAGTCTACATTATTAGCAATCTAGAACAAGAAAAAAAAATCAAGAATTCCTCATCATTACCTCATCTAGCAATTTCCACTCCAATCACCCTGACACCCCCACCAAAACAAACAAACAAATTGTTTTTGCGAATATTAAACACACACACACACGCACACAGAGTTTATTCTCTCTCTCTCTGTGTGTGTGCGTGTGCCTTTGCTCCAGTCACTTAAAATGAGTGATATTCCCTGTAGGTTCATACTTGTATGAAGGGTGTCTTAACTATACAGCCCTGCCAGATATTGCCATAAATAACTGTTTTAGAGCGGAGCAATCCATGCATTTGTTTCCGGCTAGAAAAGCTTAGCGGACTCTTCTTAGAGCCACTTTATTTAGTAACGGATGGCGAGCCAATGAGGAAAGGTTTCCATACTCTTCATCCAACGGGGAGTTTGGATACTTCAGCTTTCCTAGTAAGCGACAACCTCATTGGCTAAAACAAGGAACCGAGGCTCCAGCGATATAAGTGGATTTTGAAGGCTTGGAAGGAAAACAAGGGCGCTAGTTAGCGTTTCCTCGTTGTTGAAGGTAAGGAATCTATTATTTAAAGTTTGGGACACAGACGGTGAGATGTCATATGTTGCTAAGTTAATATGTTAAGTTAAACAAATGTGTGGACAGTTAATCACAGTCATTTGTTGGTGGTGTAAACCAGCCAACCAACTAGACTAACTAACTAACCCAGCTAACTCATGTCAATACCCTGGTTGATTCAGCTGTTGTTGGTTAAGTTAGCATTGCTAGCGGGCGATGGTTTACTGTAACCAACTTGACAGCCATGTAGTCGGCTGTCCTGTTTTAACTAGCGTTATTTCGGGCTACCCAGTGTTAACGTCAAAGTGTTAGCTTAGCCAGCTAGCCATAGCCTGTTCCCAAGTGTAACGACAATGTTGAGGCAACATGGCCAGAAAATGTGCAAAGCTCTGAAGTGACAGTGTTGCCACATGGCGACAATACGGGTTTTCGCTCGGGCTTACAGACACAGACGTTTATAATGATTACAGTCTAAGCCTTGCTAGCAAGCTGGGTACATCGCCGTGAACTTAGTTTCTACATGTCACACTTAGCTGTGAAGGACTAGTCTCTCCGAGAGGTCAGTTTGCAGCATTTTGCAGAGGTATACTGTCAGCTCCATCGGTTTTGTGTCCCAAAAAAAATCATGCCATGTGATTTTTAACCTCTTATCACAACAGCAACCATGCAGCAACTACTAATGAAACTTTACTGTAAGATATCCAAATAGACGTGTCATCTCTTAAATCGAGATTGCTGTTAGTAACCCTTTATTATGACACATAATGTTTGCTGAATTTCTAAATACAAGGGCATTTATTCTGTCCAGTAACACACTACAGCTATTTTTAGCTTCAATTAGCCTAGTTTTGTGTAAAGCAACAAGTTGGAAACATGATGCAACTGTCATATCTCAGCAGGGATGGTGACCCTCACACCTTTCCATTAATGTCTGCAGGACCTTACTGTGAATTACATCACCCTTGTAGATAACAAGGCCACAGGCTGAAAATATAAAACATCTGGAGGCATGAACTGGATTTCAAGCCTCTACAAACACACACATTTATGCTTTCATTATCAATTTAAAAGCAAAGTTTTAATATCCAGGGAATGTTAAAACTTTATTTGGCATTTCAATTTTGTTGTCCCTCTCAGTTGCAGAAAATACACATTTAGATGTGTATTAAAAAATGTTTAAAATGCATCTGACTGGAAGCTGATCTGTAATACAGCAGTGATTTTGTTTTTGGAGTATATTTTGGGGATTGAGTACCACATTTACAAAACCTAAATGCGTGGCTAATTGTATGAAAATTGTTTCTCGGTTACAACACTTAACAAAAAGGCAAGCTCTGTTAACAGTGCAGCAGTACCATTGTTTGCAAATGCTGAAAAATAACTTGTCTTATATAGAAGTTTTTGTTTTTCTTGGCTCAGATTGAATGTTTGTTCTTTGGGGGGGGGGAAGAAGATTTGATAGAAATGTTGAAAGTACCATATTTCTGTTTTTGAGGTGTGGTTTTGGCGAGGGTATGGAGCACCCTATTAACAGAGGGGAGACGATGCCCATCGGGCTGCATGACAGGTAATACACAGCGTCTCATATTCTCTTATTTTGTTATAGCCACTTTAAATTGTATGTATTCACTTTAAATGAACACATTTCACTTTCTAGGTCACAGACCTTAAAAAATGTTATGAGCTGTAAACAGACAGCAGCCTAATACCTGTC